CATGGCAGAACCTGGGTTGGACTGGATGGCCCTTGGAGGTCCCTTTTAACTCTAGTAGGCTATGGAAGATTTTAAGCAGAAGCTGGGTGGACATCTGTCGGGAGAGATCGGATGGTGTCTTCCTGCCTGGTGGAAGAGGGTTGGACTGGATGGCCCCTTTGGGTCTCTTCCAAGTTTATGATTCTATGATAGAGACATCATAGAACACAGTGTGTCCACTTATCTATCATATCTATGACTGGAAGGGCATCTGTTGGGAGGGATCAGATGGTGTCTTACTGCCTGGCAGAAGGGGGTTGGACTGGATGGCATTTGGGGTCTCCTCCATCTCTAGGATCTTACTATACACACACACACACACACACACACCCTTCCTATCTAATCTCTGGCTGGATGGCCATCTGTTGGGAAGGATCAGATGGTGTCTTCCTGCCTGGCAGAATAATAACGTTTGGAGGTTCTTCCAACTCCAGGATTCAATGATATATCTATAGTGTGTGTGTGTGTGTATAAATGTAATATCTGCCTATCTATCTTAGCATAAAACATAGTGTGTCCACTTATCTATCATATCTATGACTGGATGGGCATCTGTTGGGAGGCATCAGGTGGTGTCACTGCCTGGCAGATGGGGGTTGGACTGGATGGCATTCTGGGTCTCTTCCATCTCTAGGTTCTATCTATCTATCTATCTATCTATCTATCTATCTATCTATCTATCTATCGCCGTCCTATCTAATCTCTGCCTGGATGGCCATCTGTTGGGAAGGATCAGATGGTGTCTTCCTGCCTGGCAGAATAATAACGTTTGGAGGTTCCTTACAACTCCAGGATTCAATGATATATCTATAATGTGTGTGTGTTTGTGTGTGTGTGTATGTGTGTGTAGGAATATCTGCCTTTCTATAGAATAATAAAACATCGTGTATCTATCATACCTATGGCTGGATGGCCATCTGTCAGGAGAGATCAGATGCCTTCCTGCCTGGCAGAAGGAAGTTGGACTGGGTGATGTTGGGAATCTCTTACAACTCTAGGATTCAATGATATATCTATAGTGTGCGTGTGTATAAATGTAATATCTGCCTTTCTATCTAATCATAAAACATGTGTCTGCTTATCTGTCATATCTATGACTGGATGGCCATCTGTCAGGAGAGATCAGATGGTGTCTTCTTGCCTGGCAGAAAGTGGTTGGACTGGATAACCTTTAGAGGTCCCGTCCAACTCTAGGATTCTATGATATATCTATAATGTGTATGTGTGTATATGTGTGTGTGTGTGTGTCTGTGTGTGTTTCTGTGTGTCTGTGTAGACAGATAGATAGATAGATAGATAGATAGATAGATAGATAGATAGATAGATAGATAGATAGATAGATAGAGAGGTGGGGGGAAAGAAATATCTGCCTTTCCATCTAATCATAGAACATAGTGTATCTGCTTATCTATCATATCTATGGCTGGATGGTCATCTGTCAGGAGAGAACAGATGGTGCCTTCCTTCCAGGCAGAAGGAGGTTGGACTGTAGGCCTATGATTCCATCTTTGTAGGTTTCTCAGCAGAGGCTGAATGGCCATATTTTGGGAGGGATCAGATGGTGCCTTCCTGCCTGGCAGAAGGAGGTTGGAGTGGATGTTGTTTGGGATTTTTTCCAGCTCTAGGATCCTATGATTCCATCTCTGTAGATTTCTAAGCAGAGGCTGAATGGCCATCTGTTGGGAGGGATCAGATGGTGCCTTCCTGCCTGGAACTTGGACTGGATGAATCAGATGGTGCCTTCCTGGCCGGCAGAAAGAGGTTGGACTGTCGTCGAGGGCATCCCAGACCCCTGCCTTCAAGCTGATCTGACCAGCTGCAGGGAGTTCCGCAGTTCCTGGAGGCCCAGTTGGGCCAAAACTGATGAAATGTGCCCTAGAATCTGGGCTCCTTCAAACCGCGGATACGGAAACCCCTCGGGCCCCCATATCCGTGAGTTGACGGATCGACTCCATTTTTGGGGCCATATTTTTCCTAGTTAAATTCCCATATTTTTCCTAGTTAAATTCCCTAGTTAAATGTCATCTTGCTTTTTGCATTTCGGGCTCCTACGCTTGGGGAATAACCTTTTCATTAAAGACATTCACCAAAGTCCCCCCTGTGTGCCCCTATTCGACCGCAAGAGGAAAGTGATCAAGGCTTATCTCAGACCCATCATAAGACAATAGATTGGCTTTTCTTGAAGGCTGATCTGGACTCGATAAGCCCCCTGGACATTTCCTGTGACTTCATAATCCATTCAAGAGTGCATTGTATTCCTTCGCTCCGCTTCTCCCTCTTCTGATTCGCTGGAACACCAAAGCAGCAGGAGTCTCCTGATTGGCTCTGGCACACCGTGGAAGCCCTGTGATTGGCTCAGATGGGCAGGGGGCGGCCGAGCCTCCTCCCAGCTGTTTTCACGTTAGCCAATCACCTCCAAGCCGGGCGGGAGGTGAGGAGCGGGAGATTTGAAACACACAACTTTGTATTTTCTATAAAAATGGCATTTATTTCTGTACATGCATGCTTAGCTTGGCGAGTGATTGCTGCTTTGCATCCTTTTCAGCTGAATCGCTAATAAACATCTCGGTGGCGCTTTCTTCCACATTGGTGAGGTTCTTTTTGGGAACCTAGGGAAATAAAATTGCTTACAATTAGGCTTCTCTTTGCTCACCAACGTAGCAATCCCTCTTTGGTGGGGCTGCAGGGTCTCTCCTCCTGGGGCAGACCCTTTCAAAGTTCCTATCGACTTCAGGACTGGATGGCATTTGAGCTCTCTCCCAACTCTAAGAACCTATGATTCAATCTCTGTAGATTTCTCAGCAGAGGCCAGATGGCCATCTGTTGGGAAGGATCAGATGGTGCCTTCCTGCTTGGCAGAAGGAGGTTGGAGTGGATGTTTTTTCCAACTCTAGGATCCTATGATTCCATCTCTGTAGGTTTCTAAGCAGAGGCCGGATGGCCATCTGTTGGGACGGATCAGATGGTGCCTTCCTGCCTGGCAGAAGGAGGTTGGAGTGGATGATGTTTGGGATCTCTTCCAACTCTAGGATCCTATCATTCTACCTCTATAGGTTTCTAAGCAGAGGCTGAACGGACATCTGTTGGGAGGGATCGGATGGTGCCTTCCCTCTTGGCAGAAGGAGGTTGGAGTGGATGTTTTTTTTCAACTCCTATGATTCCATCTCTGTAGGTTTCTAAGCAGAGGCTGGATGGCCATCTGTTGGGATGGATCAGATGGTGCCTTCCTGCCTGGCAGAAGGAGGTTGGAGTGGATGTTGTTTGGGATTTTTTCCAACGTTAGGATCCTATTATTCCATCTTGGTAGGTTTCTAAGCAGAGACTGGATGGCCATCTGTTGGGAGGGATCAGATGATGTCTTCTTGCATGGCAGAAAGGAGACTCTTCCAGTTTTAGGATCCTATGATTCCATCTCTGTAGGTTTCTAAGCAGAGGCTGAATGGCCATCTGTTGGGTGGGATCAGATGAGTAGAGGCTGAATGGCCATCTGTTGTGAGGGATCAGATGGTGCCTTCCTGCCTGGCAGAAAGAAGTTGGAGTGGATGTTTTTTCCAACCCTAGGATCCTATCATTCCATCTCTGTAGGTTTCTAAGCAGAGGCTGGATGGCCATCTGTTGGGAGGGATCAGATGGTGCCTTCCTGCCTGGCAGAGAGAAGTTAGAGTGGATAGTGTTTGGGATTTTTTCAAACTCTAGGATCCTATGATTCCATCTCTGTAGGTTTCTCAGGCTTGATGACCATCTGTTGGGGGGGATCGGATGATGTCTTCTTGCATGGCAGAAAGGAGACTCTTCCAGTTCTAGGATCCTATGATTCCCTCTCTGTAGGTTCCTCAGTAGAGACTGGGTGGCCATCTGTTGGGAGGGATCGGATGATGTCTTCTTGCATGGCAGAAAGGAGACTCTTCCAGTTTTAGGATCCTATTATTCCATCTCTGTAGGTTTCTCAGTAGAGGCTGAATGGCCATCTGTTGTGAGGGATCAGATGGTGCCTTCCTGCCTGGCAGAAAGAAGTTGGAGTGGATGTTTTTTCCAACCCTAGGATCCTATCATTCCATCTCTGTAGGTTTCTAAGCAGAGGCTGGATGGCCATCTGTTGGGAGGGATCAGATGGTGCCTTCCTGCCTGGCAGAGGGAAGTTGGAGTGGATAGTGTTTGGGATTTTTTCGAACTCTAGGATCCTATGATTCCAGCTCTGTAGGTTTCTCAGCAGAGACTGGATGGCCATCTGTTGGGAGGGATCGGATGATGTCTTCTTGCATGGCAGAAAGGAGACTCTTCCAGTTCTAGGATCCTATTATTCCATCTCTGTAGGTTTCTCAGTAGAGGCTGAATGGCCATCTGTTGGGACGGATCGGATGGTGCCTTCCTGCCTGGCAGAGGGAGGTTGGGGTGGATGTTTTTTTCCAACTCAAGGATCCTATGATTCCATCTCTGTAGGTTTCTCAGCAGAGGCTGGATGGCCATCTGTTGTGAGGGATCAGATGGTGCCTTCATGGTTGGCAGAAGGAGGTTGGACTGGATGACATTTGGGCTCTCTCCCAACTCTAGGATCCTATGATTCCATCTCTGTAGGTTTCTCAGCAGAGGCTGAATGGCCATCTGTTGGGAAGGATCAGATGGTGCCTTCCTGTCTGGCAGAGGGAGGTTGGAGTGGATAGTGTTTGTGATTTTTTTGAACTCTAGGATCTTATGATTCCATCTGTGTAGGTTTCTAAGCAGAGGCTGGATGGCCATCTGTTGGGAGGGATCGGATGATGTCTTCTTGCTTGGCAGAAGGGAGACTCTTCCAACTCTAGGATCCTATTATTCCATCTCTGTAGGTTTCTCAGTAGAGGCTGAATGGCCATCTGTTGGGAGGGATCGGATGGTGCCTTCCTGCCTGGCAGAAAGAAGTTGGAGTGGATGTTTTTTCCAACCCTAGGATCCTATGATTCCATCTCTGTAGGTTTCTCAGCAGAGGCTGAATGGCCATCTGTTGGGAGGGATCGGATGATGTCTTCTTGCATGGAAGAAGGGAGACTCTTCCAACTCTAGGATCCTATGAGTCTATGCTTTGGAATTGCATGCACTGAATGAAGTGTGATGCTTTCACATCATGACAGAATAGTCTGCCATTTGGGCCACACTCAACTCGGTCTCCCGGCCGCTGACCACCGGACTCGGGGCTCTTCCTTGTCGCCACCGACATTGCCGCCAATCCTGGAACAACCCGGAGAGCTCCTTCCGGAACTTGGCCCCCACGAAGGCGTAAACCAAGGGGTTGAGGCAGGAGTGGACGAGGCCCAGGCTCTCAGTGAAGAGCAGACCAAAGTCCAGAATCTTCTCCTTGGCACAGTCGCGGCTCAAGTGTCCCAAGCGCAGGAGGCTGTCCACTAAGACGAAGCCGTGGAAGGGACCCCAGCAAAGGACGAAGAGGAGGAGGATCACGGACAGAAGCCGCAACGCTGTCACGCGGAAGAAGAGCTGCCGGAGCTTGACCGCCATTTGGACGTAGCAGTAGGTCATGGCTATGAGCGGGAAGAGGAAACCCAGCAGGAAGGAGACCAAGCGGAGGGTCAAGCGCCACGTGTTGGCGTCCTGGGCGTCGAACCCCAAATGGCACACGACGGCCTTGGCTCGCGAGACGTACGACACGGTTCGGAAATGGAGCTCCACCACGGAGAGGCCGATGGAGACGGTCCACAGCAAGGTGGAGACCAGGAAGGCGCCGTGGAGCGTCCACCGCGGCTGGAGTGAGTGGACAATGGCCAGGTAGCGTTCGATGGTGATGCAGGCCAAGAGGAAGGCGGTGCTGTAGCTGTTCATGGCGGAGAGAGCCCCGACCAGTTTGCAAAAGGGTTCTCCGAAGGCCCACGACTGGGAGAACTGTGTGGCACGGAAAGGAAGAGCCAGCACCAGGAGGAGGTCAGCGACGGCCAACTGGAAGAGGAAGCGGTCAGCTAGGAGCCACGGGCAGCGGCGTGTGGAAAGGACGGCCAGGACCAAGCCGTTACCCACCAAGCCCAGGAGGAAAGCCACCGAGAAGACAGCCGGGCCAAAGGTGCGGGCAAAGGAGCCCACCTCGCTCTGGGTGCAAGGGAAAGCCCGGGGATCGATGTCCGGCAGGTCCGAAGGGAACTAGGAAAGAGAAAGCAGAAATGGGTCAATGGGAGAGGGAATTCAGACCGCAATAAAAGGGAGGGAACCTATTTATTATTATTTATTTTAAAGTTTTGTATACCAACCTTCTCACCTCTCTTGCATCAATAGGAGCATAGTGCATCAATAGGAGCATAGTGTCTAGATCTAAGGAAGTAATGCTCCCCATGCTCTATTCTGCTTTGGTTAGACCACATCTGGAATATTGTGTCCAATTCTGGGCACCACAATTCAAGAGAGATATTGACAAGCTGGAATGTGTCCAGAGGAGGGCGACTAAAATGATCAAGGGTCTGGAGAACAAGCCCTATGAGGAGCGGCTTAAGGAGCTGGGCATATTTAGCCTGAAGAAGAGAAGGCTGAGAGGAGATATGATAGCCATGTATAAATATGTGAGAGGAAGCCACAGGGAGGAGGGAGCAAGCTTGTTTTCTGCTTCCCTGGAGACTAGGACGCGGAACAATGGCTTCAAACTCATCTGAACATGAGGAAGAACTTCCTGACTGTGAGAGCCGTTCAGCAGTGGAACTCTCTGCCCTGGAGTGTGGTGGAGGCTCCTTCTTTGGAAGCTTTTAAACAGAGGCTGGATGGCCATCTGTCAGGGGTGATTGAATGCAATATTCCTGCTTCTTGGCAGAATGGGGTTGGACTGGATGGCCCATGAGGTCTCTTCCAACTCTAGGATTCTATGATTCTTGAGGGACTCAGACCGGTTTCCAACCATAAAATCACATACAGTCAATAAAACATCATAATTCATATTACAATAAAGCATTAAAACAGCAATTACGTTCAATAACTACAATGGTCAGTCGTCCTACTAAAAGCATTGTTCATCATCCTCCATCCATATCTCAGGGTGTTGGCTCACACATTGAATGCCTGTCTCCATAACCACTAGGCTTGGGTAACCACGGAAAAATTTGGTTCTAAACTCGTTTCATTTTTAGGGGGGCCCTTGCGTTTCGTTTTTTTAAAGAATTCCGAAATTTTCCTTTAAAAAAGTTAGAAATATACGAAATTTCGTAAAATTACGAATCGATTCGTTAATGGCGGACGCGATTGCGCAATATGCTAAAAAAACCCTCCAAACGGGACAGGAGGAACTTCTGAAGCTTCCCTCTCCCTCTGTTGTTGACTGTTGGTGTGATAAAACAAACAACAGCTATAAAACTTGCACCAGACATACGGAAATAATTATGAAACAATTACGAAACAATACGAAATAAATTGGAAACATTGTTTCGATTTTTAATTACTCCTCACAGTAGTCCTGCATGGCTCAATATTGGATCGTAAGCTAATTTAAATACGAATTAATAACGAATTACGAAATTAACAAATGAAACCACCCAAGCCTAATAACCACGTCTTCACCTGTTTCCTGAATGTCAGGATAGAAGGGGCAGTTCTGATCTCCAGTGGGAGAGAGTGCCAGAGTCGCGGGGCCACCACCGGGAAGGCCCTGTCCCTCGTCCCCACCAGATGCGCTTGCGAGGCCGGTGGGACCAAGAGCAGGGCCTCTCCAGACGATCTTAATAATCTTGATGGTTCATAGGGGAGAATATGTTCGGAGAGGTAAGCAGGACCGGAGTCGTTTAGGGCATGCCTGGCAAGCATTGTGCCAACCAAAGTTCCAGATTGAAGACTTACCAGGAAGTGTTCTGTCTTCTCATAAAATATTCTGTGTTCAAGCAGAGCACTTGATGAACCAACCTGGCCACAGCTAATCAAGGCAATTCAAGCTTGCTAATTGCAACATTTGCACTTGCTTCAAACAGAGAAGTGTTCTTTCTCCCACCCTGGACATTATTCCACAGTGTATACATACACTCCACTTGCCTCATTTCCAACAGAACTTCTGAAGATGCCAGCCACAGATGCAGGTGAAACATCAGGAGAGAATTCTCCTGGAACGTGGCTATGTTGTTGTTCATTTGCTCATAGAATCAAAGAGTTGGAAGAGACCTCATGGGCCATCCAGTCCAACCCCATTCTGCCAAGAAGCAGGAATATTGCATTCAAATCACCCCTGACAGATGGCCATCCAGCCTCTGTTTAAAAGCTTCCAAAGAAGGAGCCCCCACCACACTCAGTTGCTTCTGACTCTTCGTGACCTCATGGACCATCCCACGCCATAGCGCCCTGTCAGCCATCACCTCCCCCAGCTCCTTCAGAGTCAAGCCAGTCACTTCAAGGATGCCATCCATCCATCTTGCCCTTGGTCGGTACCTCTTCCTTTTCCCCCAGCATAACTGTCTTCTCTAAGCTTTCCTTTCTTCTCATGATGTGGCCAAAGGACTTCCACTTTCCCTCTCATCTCCTTCCCTCCAGTGAGCAGTCGGGCTTTATTTCCTGGAGGATGGACTGGTTGGATCTTCTCGCAGTCCAAGGCACTCTCAGCACTTTCCTCCAACACCACAGCTCAAAAGCATCGACCTTCCTTCGCTCAGCCTTCCCTAAGGTCCAGCTCTCACATCCGTAGATGTGACTACAGGGAAGACCATGGCTTGGACTAGGCAATGGATCTTGGTTGCCAGTCTGATGTCTCTTCTCTTTACTATTTTGTCGAGACTGGACATTGCTCTCCTCCCAAGAAGGAAGCGTCTTCTGATTTCCTGGCCACAGTCTGCGTCTGCACTCATCTTTGCACCTAGAAATACAAAGTCTGTCACGGCCTCCACGTTTCCTCCCTCTATTTCCCAGTTGTCAATCATTCTTGTTGCCATAATCTTGGTTTTTGTTTTGTTTTGTTTTGTTTGATGTTTAGCTGCAACCCAGCTTTTGCGCTTTCTTCTTTCACCTTGATTAGAAGGCTCCTCAGCTCCTCCTCGCTTTCGGCCATCAAAGTGGTATCATCTGCATATCTAAGGTTGTTATTGTTTCTTCCAGCAATTTTCACCCCAGCCTTGCATTCATCAAGCCCCGCACATCCTCGCATGATGTGTTCTGCATACAAGTTGAATAAGTTGGGTGAGAGTATACAACCCTGCCGTGCACCTTTCCCAATCTTGAACCAGTCTGTTGTTCCGTGGTCAGTTCTGACTGTTGCGACTTGGTCCTTATACAGATTCCTCAGGAGAGAGGGAAGGTGATTTGGTCTGCCCAGACCACCAAGAACTTGCCACCATTTATGATGATCCACACAGTCAAAGGCAATGAAGCAGAAGTAGATGTTTTTCTGAGACTCCCTACCTTCCTCCATTCTCCAGCATCTGGATATTTGCAATGTGGTCTATCATTCCTCTGCCTTTCCTAAACCCAGCTTGTCCATCTGGCAACTCTCTCTCCATGTATTGCTGGAGTCTTCCTTGCAGGAATGTGGCTATAGAGCCGGAAAAACGGACAGCAACCCAGTTGGGTTGTTGTAGTTTTTCGGGAACCTAGTTCTCTAACCACGCTCTCTACGTGGGGCTGCCCCTGAAGACGGCCCGGAAGCTGCAACTAGTCCAACGCGCGGCAGCCATGATTCTAACAGGAGCAGAGCGCAGGGAGCACACAACCCCCCTGTTGCACCAGCTCCACTGGCTGCCGATTTGCTACCGGGCCCAATTCAAGGTGTTGGTACTGGCCTATAAAGCCCTAAACGGTTCCGGCCCAAGATACCTATCTGACCGCATCTCGGCCTATGAACCCACCCGGACTTTGAGATCTTCCGGGGAGGCCCTGCTCTCGATCCCGCCAGCCTCTCAAGCACGGTTGGCGGGGACGAGAGATAGGGCCTTCTCGGTGGTGGCTCCTCGGCTGTGGAACGCCCTTCCTGTAGACGTTAGGCTGGCACCATCTCTCATGACATTCCGTAGAAAGCTGAAGACCTGGATGTTTGTGCAGGCGTTTGAGTAATTCAGTGCAATTCTGGTAATTTGAACATAGGAACGGAACAATGGACGACGAATTTGGATCACGCTTGGATGATGAGGCGATCGGGGATGAGATTTGTGATAACTGTGTATTGATGATTGTTTATTAGCTAGTAATGGAAATGTGTAATTTAACTGTTATTGCATATTAATTATTGCTGTTTTTATTGTCTTTGCTGTTTGCTGTTTGGAAACCGCTGTGAGTCGCCCTCGGGCTTGAGATACAGCGGTATACAAGAATAGTAAATAAATAAATAAATAAATAAATTGATCACTCCTCCAGTTTGATTCTATGGCCAACTATCCAGCAGAAGGATGCCATAGCACAGCCTGGAGGACCAATGGAGATGCCTGGAGAGGACTGTAAAGACAGAGACCTAAGATTAAAATGCATTTAAATGATATCGACAAGCTGGAATGTGTCCAGAGGAGGGCGACCAAAATGATAAAGGGTCTGGAGAACAAGCCCTATGAGGAGCGGCTTAAGGAGCTGGGCATGTTTAGCCTGAAGAAGAGAAGGCTGAGAGGGGATATGATAGCCATGTATAAATATGTGAGAGGAAGCCACAGGGAGGAGGGAGCAAGCTTGTTTTCTGCTTCCCTGGAGACTAGGACGCAATGGGAACAATGGCTTCAAACTACAAGAGAGGAGATTCCATCTGAACATGAGGAAGAACTTCCTGACTGTGAGAGCCGTTCAGCAGTGGAACTCTCTGCCCCGGAGTGTGGTGGAGGCTCCTTTGGAAGCTTTTAAACAGAGGCTGGATGGCCATCTGTCAGGGGTGTTTTAAATGCAATATTCCTGCTTCTTGGCAGAATGGGGTTGGACTGGATGGCCCAGGAGGTCTCTTCCAACTCTAGGATTCTATGATTCTATGATATTTGCCAGAAAGCAGGCAGGACAAGGGTAGGACATACCTCATAATCGGTGTAATCCAGGCCCCAGGAAAAGGTAGTCATCTTTGCCCCCGAACCATTCCAGGTTATGGGGGAACGTCCGCTTTCGGCCACTTTCCCCTTTTGCCCGCAAGTGAGGAAACGGAACGAGGCGCTCGTTCCGAATCAGATCCCAAAACCTTGCCTACGATGGACGGAAATAGAAAAGAAACGAAAGGGGAAACCGCTGCTTTGTGAAATGGTCCCAAATGAGGAAGTGAATTTTTCTTAATGTTAGACAGCCAAAGCCTTGCTATTATTCGACAGGTGAAGTCCCATTGATGTGGGTGCATCTACACTGTAGAATTATTGCCGTTTGGCCCCATTTGAACCGTCATGGCTCAAATGCCACGGGGTCCTGGGAGTTGTAGTTTGCACTCCTTTGGCAGAGAGGGCCCTTAATGATATTGAAGTCGAACATGACACCCCCCCCCCCAATACATTCACATCATCATCATTATTATCATTTCATAGAATCATAGAATCATAGAATCAAAGAGTTGGAAGAGACCTCATGGGCTATCATCCAGTCCAACCCCATTCTGCCAAGAAGCAGGAATATTGCATTCAAATCACCCCTGACAGATGGCCATCCAGCCTCTGCTTAAAAGCTTCCAAAGAAGGAGCCTCCACCACAATCCGGGGCAGAGAGTTCCACTGCTGAACGGCTCTCACAGTCAGGAAGTTCTTCCTCATGTTCAGATGGAATCTCCTCTCTTGTAATTTGAAGCCATTGTTCTGCGTCCTAGTCTCCAAGGAAGCAGAAAACAAGCTTGCTCCCTCCTCTCTGTGGCTTCCTCTCACATATTTATACATGGCTATCATATCTCCTCTCAGCCTTCTTCAGGCTAAACATGCCCAGCTCCTTAAGCCGCTCCTCATAGGGCTTGTTCTCCAGACCCTTGATCATTTTAGTCGCCCTCCTCTGGACACATTCCAGCTTGTCAATATCTCTCTTGAATTGTGGTGCCCAGAATTGGACACAAATATTCCAGGTGTGGTCTAACCAAAGCAGAATAGAGGGTAGCATGACTTCCCTGGACCTAGACACTATGCTCCTCTTGATGCAGGCCAAAATCCCATTGGCTTTTTTTGCCGCCACATCACATTGTTGGCTCATGTTTAACTTGTTGTCCACGAGGACTCCAAGATCTTTTTCACACGTACTGCTCTCGAGCCAGGCATCCCCCATTCTGTATCTTTGCATTTCATTTTTTCTGCCAAAATGGAGTATCTTGCATTTGTCACTGTTGAACTTCATTTTGTTAGTTTTGGCCCATCTCTCTAATCTGTCAAGATCATTTTGAATTCTGCTCCTGTCCTCTGGAGTATTGGCTATCCCTCCCAATTTGGTGTCGTCTGCAAACTTGATGATCCTGACTTCTAGCCCTTCCTCTAAGTCATTAATAAAGATGTTGAACAGGACCGGGCCCAGGAGGGAACCCTGTGGTACTCCACTTGCCACTTCTTTCCAGGATGAAGAGGAAGCATTGGTGAGCACCCTCTGGGTTCGTCCATTTAACCAATTACAGATCCACCTCACCGTACTTTTGCCTAGCCCACATTGGACTAGTTTCCTTGCCAGAAGGTCATGGGGGACCTTGTCGAAGGCCTTACTGAAATCCAGGTACGCTACATCCACGGCATTCCCCGCATCTACTCAGCTTGCGTTGCTTTGGTCTCCTGCAGGCGCCCTTTCTTTCCCACCTTCTCCAACAATAATATTTCTTCTTATTTCCTTCTGCAAAACGTTTTCCTTCTACAAGACCTCCGGACTCCCAGGTGCTCAGAAGGTCATTGCATTTATCATTCCCTAAACCCAATGTTTTTCTTTAATTTTACTCAATTGATGATAACTAATTGGCTTCTCCCACTTTAGGGAGAAGAGTGTCACCAGAACCTGGTGGGCTTTTACATGTAATTTCTCTGTTCCAGCCGCCCAAAACAGCGTCTTGGGTCCAGGTCTGGAAATTGAAATCCCTTAAATAATTATTTTTGAATAGGTTGTGTTGAGGATTATTAACTTACTTTCAGGCTCTGCTTTTTGCCTCCAGGTGGAATATAACAGGAAGTGGAGCACTAGGTCTCTCCACCTTGGAAAAGAGCCGCCATGTAACATTGGGAAGATGGTTCTCTCCTCACATTTGCGGGTTTGATTATAATATTCATGACTTTGATTTATTATATTTATTATATTTATTAATGTATTTATACGCCTCTTTATCTCCCCAAAGGGGACTCATAGTGGCTTCACATAAAAGCAGCAGCACAGAATTTAAAATATGCAAATATACAAAAATTAAAACACAATTAAACACAAAGAGCAGTAAAAGAAAATCAGTTAAAATCCATCCAAACATATTCAAAGTTAAGAACCATATTTAAACTTACTCTCTAGAAACCTCTTAAGTCCCCTTCTACACAGCGGTATACAATCCAGATTATCTGCTGTGAACTGGATTATATGGCAGTGTACACTTGGATAATCCAGTTCATCTGGATTATCTGCCTTGATATTCAGGATTATATGGCAGTGTAGAAAGACCCTAAGTTCTCCACTGTGTTGTTTCTCTCAGAACATTTTCTTTCCCCTTTCCTTTTGCTTTTTCTTCCTTTCTTCCTTCCTTCCCTTCCTTCCTTCTTTCTTTCTTTCCTTCCATCCTTCTTTCTTTCCTTGCCTTCTTTCCTCCCTCCCTCACTTCCTTCCTTCCCTCCTTCCTTCCTTNCCCCACGAGGCTTTTGGGAAATGGCTGGATCTTGGGACTTCTGCCCTTTGTGAGAGTTGTAGTTCCCCAAGGCCTGAGCGATGGATTCTGTTATTGATCAACTCAGCGCCCATCTGCTGACTCCTGCAGGGAGAAATGACTCTTTGCTGCCTGAGTTGGACTGCAAACCACCTCCGCTTCCACGAACCTTCCCCAGGAGCATGGGATTTCCAGTTCTTTTAATAAATCAATATTGCAATAAAATAATAAAGATGTGGGGTGGGAAAGGGAATTTTTATATGAACGTTGTATGCATGAGATGCCATCCGCTTCCCTGCCTTCCCCTTTTCCCTCTTGACCTTTCCCTTACAAAAAGTGACCCAGGACTCTTTTGTTGATCTCATCTGCATGGAACAATAGCTGTTGATTCCCTCATCTCGCCCTCTGAGCTTGACTAGCGAGAATGAGGAAGTCTACAGAAATCTGGAAAAAAGGATGATTAAATTTACAAAGGACAGCGTTGATCCCTTTTTGAGGTCCACTGTCCGACCCAGTTGTTTCTTCCCCCCAAAGCCATTTCCTACAGGAAAATCTTTGTTTACAGAGGTCACACCTTGCCGGCCAAGACAAAGCCTCGCATTCCATTCTGGCTGACAATCTGTAATCCCATCATTTCCCCATTGCCTGCGGTTGTCCCGCCTGGCTTGCTTCTGATTTGTCCATCCTCAAAAAGCAAGGAAAGCCTGCTGATTGGCCCTCCAGAGGCAGAGGGTGGGCAGGACATTTGAAATGTTTTCCTTTGTATTTTGTCTATAAATATGCTTGTAAAATGCCTAGCAGTATGCTTGTGGTGGAATGATTCCTGCAATGCATCCGATATCAGCTGAATCGCAAATAAACACCTCGGTCGCTTGAAAAACCTTCTTCCACTTTGGTGAGGTTTTATCATTTTTAATACTTTAATCATTTGAGATTGGCTTCACTGGCCTCACCAAGGTATCCAGGACCCTTTTGGCACGGTCCTTGGATTCTCCTCTCTTGAGGGGACCCTGCTAAAAGTAGCTCGATATCACCTGGGCTCCTGATGGTCCCCCATCTCACAAACAAGGGACTCTCTTCCCCCCTCATGAACTTTTCCCTTTATGGACTATGGACTTATGGTATATTTTCATGATTTTCCTTGTGGCTGAGGTTTTCCCCCTTCACCTTTTTTTCCCCTTTCCCCATGATGAAATCCCACCAGGAAGTGCCCCCGATACTGAAAGGGTGCAGAGCCTCAATCAATCACAAAGAACTCTTATCAACAAATCTTATGCATGGACAGAAACAAAGGCGACACCCTTGCCCTCGGAGTTTCCCCCAGCAGGGAGGACGCCCCTTGACAGACTTTTGATTACTTTTCTAATTGGAGATGGGGGGGGCACCTTTGAAAAGCATCCCCCTTTCTACCCTGTTGCCCCATTCAATCATTCATCAAAAACTTCACCCAGTATTGCCCCTTTTGTCCTTCTGTTTTGCCGCCACAGAAAGCCCGTATTTTCCTGTTTGTATTCAATTATCACCATTCATGAATCAATAGAACTGCTTGATTAGAAGGCCCTTCCTGGGACTCATTAAGCCGCTGGCATTTCCTTACTTCATAATCCATTCAAGTATCCATTGTTTTTCCCTCGTCCCGCCTCCCTACCTCCTGATTCGTCGAAACGCCAGAGCGGTAGAAGCCTTTTCATTGGCCCTGACGCACTGCAGCGGCTCCCTGATTGGTCCAGATGCGCCGGGGGTGGACAAGCCCCCTCCCAGGTGTTGGCACATCAGCCAATCACGATGAAGCCGGGCCAGGAGGCAGGCGCAGGGGATTTGAACCATACAACTCTGTAGTTCTATAAAAATAACATTTATTTCTGTAACCACATGCTCTGCTTGGCGAATGATTGCCGCTCTGCATCCTTTTCAGCTGAACAACAAATAAACCTCGGTATTATTATTATTATTATTATATAAACAACAAGATGAGTACAGAGCAAACAAGATCACTCTGCTGGCTGTTGTATTGGATCACACATCAGACACTTCCCAAGTCTGTAGGACTGTGTGATGTATCAGCAAATTATTATTATTATTATTATTATTATTATTGGTGTTGTTGTTGTTATTATTATATGGAGGGACATATAAAATTACATAGAAGGCTGGATTTGGCCCGCGGGCCTTGAGTTATTATTATTAATATTGTTGATACTATTGATATTGTTAATATTGTTAATTTGAGAGTTATAGTCCAGCACCAGTAATCCATCATGATGTTATTGTTGTTGTTGCTGTTGTTGTTGCTGGTGCTACTACATGGAGGGCCACATAAAATGACACAGAAGGTCAGATTTAGCCCATGGGTCTAGTTTTAATATTAATAATATTCTTAATTTGGGAGTTATAGTCCAGCACCGGTAGTCCATCATGATGTTGTTGTTGCTGTTGCTGTTGCTGTTGTTGTTTTTGTTGTTCCTGTTGTTATTGTTATTATATGGAGGGCCACATAAAATGACACGGAAGGCCAGATTTGGCCCATAGGTCTAGTTTTAATATTATTAATATTGTTAATTTGGGAGTTATAGTCCAGCACCAATAGTCACTCATGATGTTGCTGTTGCTGTTGTTGTTGTTGTTGTTGTTCCTATTGTTATTGTTATTATATGGCTACATAAAATGACATGGAAGGCCAGATTTGGCCCATGGGTCTAGTTTTAATATTATTAATATTCTTAATATGGGAGTTATAGTCCAGCACCGGTAGTCCATCATGATATTGTTGTTGTTCCTATTGTTATTGTTATTATATGGAGGGCCACATAAAATGACACGGAAGGCCAGATTTGGCCCATAGGTCTAGTTTTAATATTATTAATATTGTTGATTTGGGAGTTATAGTCCAGCACCAATAGTCCATCATGATGTTGCTGTTGTTGTTGTTGTTGTTGTTGCTATTGTTATCGTCATTATATGGACAGCCACATAAAATGACATGGAAGGCCAGATTTGGCCCATAGGTCTAGTTTTATTATTTATTTATTTATTTACTTTACTTTACTTATATACCGCTGTTCTCAGCCCGAAGGCGACTCACAGCGGTTCACAACAAATAAGAACAGCAAAAATCCAATGCTACAGTGTAAAAACAGTTAACAACCTAACATATTACATAATTAATAAACAATTACTACAATAACCATTCACTATTCACTATCGTCTCATCATCGAAAACATGATCCAGATTCGTCATCCATTGTTTCGTTCCAATGTTCATTAACCAATAATTGCACTAATTATTCGAACGCCTGCTCAAACAGCCAGGTCTTCACTTTCCTGCGGAATACCATTAGAGATGGTGCTAGTCTAATGTCGGTAGGAAGGGCGTTCCACAGCTGAGGAGCCACCACCGAGAAGGCCCTATCTCTCATCCCCGCCAGCCGTGCTTGAGAGGCAGGCAGGATCGAGAGCAGGGTCTCCCCGGAAGATCTCAAAGTCCTGGTGAGTTCATAGGCAGAGATGCGGTCGGATAGGTAGCTTGGGCCGGAACCGTTAAAGGCCAACGCCAGCACTTTGAATTGAGCCCGGTAGCAGATCGGTAGCCAGTGGAGTTGGCGCAACAGGGGGGTTGTATGCTCCCTGCACTCCGCTCCTGTTAAAATCATGGCTGCCGAGCATTGGACTAGTTGGAGCTTCCGAGCCGTCTTCAAAGGCAACCCCACGTAGAGAGCGTTGCAGTAGTCTAAACGGGATGTAACCAGCACGTGGACTACCGTGGCCAAGTCAGACTTTTAATATTATTAATATTGTTAATTTGGAAGTTATAGTCCAGCACTGGTAGTCCATCATGATATTGTTGTTGTTGTTGCTGTTGTTGTTGTTGCTGTTGTTGTTGTTGTTGTTGTTATTGTTATTATATGGAGGGCCACATAAAATGACACGGAAGGCCAGATTTGGCCCAGGGGTCTAGTTTTAATATTATTAATATTGTTAATTTGGGAGTTATAGTCCAGCAGTGGTAGTCCACCATGATGTTGTTGTTGTTGTTGCTATTGTTATCGTTATTATATGGAGGGCCACATAAAATGACACGAAAGGCCAGATTTGGCCCATGGTTCTTGTTTTAATATTATTAATATTGTTAATATTATCAATACAGGAGTTGTAGTCTAGCATCGGTAGTCCATCATGTTGCTGTTGTTGTTGTTGCTGTTGTTGTTGTTCCTATTGTTATTGTTACTATATGGAGGGCCACATAAAATGACACGGAAGGCCAGATTTGGCCCATAGGTCTAGTTTTAATATTATTAATATTGTTAATATTATCAATACAGGAGTTGTAGTCTAGCATTGGTAGTCCATTATGTTGCTGTTGTTGTTGCTGCTGCTGTTGTTGTTCCTATTGTTATTGTTATTATATGGAGGGCCACATAAAATGACACGGAAGGCCAGATTTGGCCCATAGGTCTAGTTTTAATATTATTAATATTGTTAATATTATCAATACAGGAGTTGTAGTCTAGCATCGGAAGTCCATCATGTTGTTGTTGTTATTGTTATATGTTATATAATGTGACATTGAAAGCCAGATTTGGTCCATGAGCCTTGAGTTTGACACATGTGACACATATATAGATATAAATCCCTTGGATTGGTCCTTTCAAAGTCCAGAATGAAGCCAGAGCAGAAGCCCATTTTGGGCAATATAGATATGGATGGAAACACCAAGAAGGAGGCAGATGTTCTGCAAAATGTCCTAGAACCCTCCGGAATAGGTGGCTTCGGTGCTTTCGGACCAGGTGGACTCCCTCCGGTTGGCCGACCCCTGCCGGCTATATTTGGCCACAAACTCGTAACTGACGCAGCCCAGCTTTTGGAGCAGTTCCAGGTACCGGTGTCGGAACTTGACCCCTACGAAGGCATAGAGGAGCGGGTTGAGGCAGCAGTGGAAGAAGCCCAAGGCGGTGGCCACCACTTCGGCCGCCTCCAGCCTCTCCTGCCGAGCGCAGTCCTCTTCGAGGAGGCCCAGCCTGTCCAAAGTGTTGGCGAACTGGACCAAATGGTACGGCAGCCAGCAGAGGAAGAAGGCGCCCACCACGGCCAAGATGACCCGCATGGCCTTGTGCTTCTGGAAGCCCTTGGACAGCAACAGAGTGAAGACGATGTGGGCATAGCAGTAGCCCATGGCCAGCAAGGGCAGGAAGAAGGTGCCCACTTGGTTGAAAAGGCTCAGGCCCACTTTCCACTGCGTGGCCGAAGCCGTCGGGAAGACCAGCGAGCAGGAGGTGGACTTCTGGCGCGAGTCGTACTCCGCGGACAAGTAGACGAAGTCCGGCACGGTGAGGAGGAGGCAGGCGGCCCAGACGGCTACAGCAGTGAGTCGGACGGCGGAGGCTTTACTGCGTTTGTACATGCGGACGACGCAGACGATGGAGAGGTAGCGGTCCAGGCTGATGCAGACCAAGAAGAAGATGCTGGCGTAGAAGTTGATCTTGAAGGCACCGCCCACCACTCGGCACAGGAAGGTGGTGAAGACCCAGCCACGGGCCTCTTGGACGGCCCAGAAGGGGAGGGTCAGCACCAGGAGGATGTCGGCCACGGCCAGGTTGAAGAGGAAGACATCCGTCCCGGCCAGAGCCTCCTTGGAGCGCAGCAGGACCGTGATGACCATCCCGTTGCCCCACAAGCCCAGGATGCAGATCACGCTGTAGAAAGCGGGCAAAAAGCTGCCGGCGAAGGCTTGGGTTGCGTTGGAGTTGCAAATGGAAGATGATGAGCAGCAGGCGTCGGTCGAGTTGTCGTAATCATAATAGCCATCGGAGTAGTTGACCAATGAGCCATAGAGGTCACCACTGGTTAAGACCATGCTATCATCTCCATCCTAAAAAGGAAAGGAAAGGGGGCAAAGGGTGAAATATATAGCAGAGAGGATAAGGTTTCAACTAAAGATGTTTCAACACTAGAAGTAATGCAGTTTGGCACCGGTTTAATGTTATGGGATCCTTGGAGTTGTAGGGTGCATCTATGCTGTTGAACACAGAACCCACAACCGTTTTTGTGTCAGGAGTGACTTGAGAAACTGCCGGGAGTGGCCAACCTATCAATCAATCTTGCCGAGCACGGACCCTCTGTATCCGTGGTCCTAGTCCAAATTTGACCTCATCTACATTGTGGAGGTAATGCAGTTTTGGCACCACTTCAACAACCACAACACATTAGCTACAGAACGCCGGGAGTGGCCAATCTATCAATCAATCTTGCCGAGCACGGACCCTCTGTATCCATGGTCCTAGTCTAAATTCGACCTCATCTACATTGTGGAGTTAATGCAGTTTTGGCACCACTTCAACAACCACGACTCATTGGCTACGAAATGCCGGGAGTGGCCAATCTATCAATCAATCTTGCCGAGCACGGACCCTCTGTATCCGCGGTCTTAGTCTAAATTCGACCTCATCTACATTGTGGAGTTAATGCAGTTTTGGCACCACTTCAACAACCACAACGCATTGGCTACGAAACGCCGGGAGTGGCCAATCTATCAATCAATCTTGCCGAGCACGGACCCTCTGTATCCGTGGTCCTAGTCTAAATTCGACCTCATCTACATTGTGGAGTTAATGCAGTTTTGGCACCACTTCAACAACCACGACTCATTGGCTACGAAATGCCGGGAGTGGCCAATCTATCAATCAATCTTGCCGAGCACGGACCCTCTGTATCCGCGGTCTTAGTCTAAATTCGACCTCATCTACATTGTGGAGTTAATGCAGTTTTGGCACCACTTCAACAACCACAACGCATTGGCTACGAAACGCCGGGAGTGGCCAATCTATCAATCAATCTTGCCGAGCACGGACCCTCTGTATCCGCGGTCTTAGTCTAAATTCGACCTCATCTACATTGTGGAGTTAATGCAGTTTTGGCACCACTTCAACAACCACAACGCATTGGCTACGAAACGCCGGGAGTGGCCAATCTATCAATCAATCTTGCCGAGCACGGACCCTCTGTATCCGTGGTCCTAGTCTAAATTCGACCTCATCTACATTGTGGAGTTAATGCACAATCCACTTCAACAACCACGACTCATTGGCTACGAAATGCCGGGAGTGGCCAATCTATCAATCAATCTTGCCGAGCACGGACCCTCTGTATCCGCGGTCTTAGTCTAAATTCGACCTCATCTACATTGTGGAGTTAATGCAGTTTTGGCACCACTTCAACAACCACAACGCATTGGCTACGAAACGCCGGGAGTGGCCAATCTATCAATCAATCTTGCCGAGCACGGACCCTCTGTATCCGTGGTCCTAGTCTAAATTCGACCTCATCTACATTGTGGAGTTAATGCACAATCCACTTCAACAACCACGACTCATTGGCTACGAAATGCCGGGAGTGGCCAATCTATCAATCAATCTTGCCGAGCACGGACCCTCTGTATCCGCGGTCTTAGTCTAAATTCGACCTCATCTACATTGTGGAGTTAATGCAGTTTTGGCACCACTTCAACAACCACAACGCATTGGCTACGAAACGCCGGGAGTGGCCAATCTATCAATCAATCTTGCCGAGCACGGACCCTCTGTATCCGCGGTTTTAGTCTAAATTCGACCTCATCTACATTGTGGAGTTAATGCAGTTTTGGCACCACTTCAACAACCACGACTCATTGGCTACAAAATGCCGGGAGTGGCCAATCTATCAATCAATCTTGCCGAGCACAGACCCTCTGTATCTGCGGTCCTATTCTAAATCCGACCTCATCTACATTGTGGAGTTATTAATTTTTGGCACCACTTCAACAACCACGACTAATTGACTACAAGACGCCGGGAGTGGCCAACCTATCAATCAATCTTGCCGAGCACGGACCCTCTGTATCCGTGGTCCTAGTCCAAATTTGACCTCATCTACATTGTGGAGGTAATGCAGTTTTGGCACCACTTCAACAACCACAACACATTAGCTACAGAACGCCGGGAGTGGCCAATCTATCAATCAATCTTGCCGAGCACGGACCCTCTGTATCCGTGGTCCTAGTCTAAATTCGACCTCATCTACATTGTGGAGTTAATGCACAATCCACTTCAACAACCACGACTCATTGGCTACGAAATGCCGGGAGTGGCCAATCTATCAATCAATCTTGCCGAGCACGGACCCTCTGTATCCGCGGTCTTAGTCTAAATTCGACCTCATCTACATTGTGGAGTTAATGCAGTTTTGGCACCACTTCAACAACCACAACGCATTGGCTATGAAACGCCGGGAGTGGCCAATCTATCAATCAATCTTGCCGAGCACGGACCCTCTGTATCCACGGTTCTACTCTAAATTCGACCTCATCTACATTAGTATTTGCGGACACTGTGGTTTGTTTTGGATTTTCGGCCCCAGGGATTCAGAAGCCACTAAGAAGGTTTACAGAAAGGACGAGAAAAGGAAAGAAAGAGAGATGTGGTTTCCTAAGGACTGTTTCGTTACATCATGTGATTTTGCCCTGCTTGCGACCGTGGTTTCTGGTGAGGGTGGTTTTCGAAAGTTTGGGCACCACATCCTGCGAAGACAGGCTTTCGGAGGCAATGAGTAAGCATCGCCAAAGATGCTGCCTTTGGGGTTTCGCCTAGGGTGCATCTACACTGTGGAATTAACGCAGTTTGATGCCATTTTTCACTATGTGATGGAATCCAGGGAATTTTAGAAGTTCTTTTTGACTTCTGTGCCCAAGAGTTCAAACTACTGGGATGCGAGGGCGCTTCAAAGTGGTGCCAAACCGCATTCATTGTACAATGTAGATGCGCCCCCTGTTGGGACAGAAGGCTTGTGCTTCAACATTCACCAACTTCTTTTCCTCCTCTTCTTCCCCCTCTTCTTCCTCTTCTTCCTCTCCTTCTTCCTCTTCCTCTTCTTCTTCTTCCCCTTCTTCTTTTTCTTCCTCTTCATCCTCTCCGTCATCCTCTATTTCTTCCTCTTTCTCTTCTCCTTCTTCTTCTCCTTCTTCTCCTTCTTCTTTTTCTTCCTCTTCTTCTCCTTCTTTCTATTCTTTTTCCTCTTCTTCCTCTTCTTCCTCTTCTTCTTCCTCTTTTTCCTTTTCTTCCTCTCCTGTCTCCTTTTCGTCCTCTTCCTCTCCTTCCTCTTCTTCGTCTTCTTCTTCCTCTTCCTCTTTTTCCTCTTCTTCTTCTTCCTCTCCTGTCTCCTCTTCCTCTCCTTCCTCTTCTTCGTCTTCTTCTTCCTCTTCCTCTTCTTCTTCCTCTCCTTCCTCTTCCTCCTCCTCTCCTTCTTCTTCCTCTCCTTCTTCTTCTTCTTCTTCTTCTTCCTCTCCTCCTTTTTCTCCTTCTCCTTCTTCCACTTCTTCCTCTTCTTTTTCCTCTTTTTCCTCTTTTTCTTCTTCCTCTCCTTCCTCTTCTTCTTCCTCTTCCTCCTCTTCTTCCTCTTCTTCCTCTTCTTCTTCCTCTTCCTCTTCTTCCTCTTCTCCTTCTCCTTCTCCTTCTTCTTCTTGTTCTTCTTCTTTCTCTCCTCCTCCTCCTCCTCCTCCTTCTCCTTCTCCTTCTCCCTTCCTCTGAGGCCGAAGTCCTAAAATGAATCAGCTCCAGGTTCAAATCAAGGACAGGAAACGTGGAGACATGTTCTTCTCCCCTACTTTGCATCTCTTTCCTTGGTGATACTGTGGACGATGGGCCTCTGAGTCTTCCTGTCCTTTTGCAAAAGGCAAGGCAACCACGGTTTCCTATATTGAATCTTTCCATCTGCATTGCAATCACCTTCTTTTACTTTCTATCTTTCCAATAACGATTGTCCACAGCATGTCAGCCTCTGTTTAGTTACCTTGGCTTCTAAGAACTCAGTTTCAGTTCTTTGAACCAGGCCTTCTTCTGCCTCCTTCTTCAGGGTTCCATTCGTGAGCCATCACCAGGTTTTCTCCTTGTCAACTTTTCCTTCAATCTTCTCAAGGAACTGCCCATGCAAGGCTTGGTTGTGCCAGCTGTCAGCTCTGGTTTGGAGTGCAGTTTTCCTGTACTGACTCTTTGTCTGCTGTGCTTTGAGAAGTTTCTGATTACTGACTTCAATTAAAGCAGGTTCTTGGCTTTCCTTGACATCTTCTGCCAGGGCATCCTGTTGTTGTTCTTCGACTGCTTGTTTTAATTGTAAGAGTCCTCTGCCCCCAGACCTTCTAGGGGGGATTATTATTATTATTATTATTATTATTATTATTATTATTTCTTATCCACCTCTCCTTGTGGCTCAAGGGAGGTTACAACATAACTAAAAAACACATAAACCGATATATTGTTGACGGCTTCCGTGGCTGCAATCACTGGGTTGTTGTAGGTATTTCAGGCTATATGGCCATGTTCTAGAAGCATTCTCTCCTGACGTTTCGCCTGCATCTATGGCAGGCATCCTCAGAGGTTGTGAGGTCTGTTGGAAACTAGGAAAATTGGATTTATGTATCTGTGGAAAGTCACCCATTGTGCTTCCCCGGCTAAGTGGGCATCCAAGCTTGGCCCCCTGAGTGTAGCTCAAACCACACATCTATCCTTAGCTGATGCCATTTTGGATGCATCTACCCATATTGACTTGAGTCTCATGTGCCATCAAATCTATTTTTTCTATGTTGAGAAACTGCAAGTTGCTTCTGGTTTGGGAGAATTGGCTGTCTGCAAGGACACTACCCAGGGGACGTTGCCCGGATGTTTTGATATTTTACCATCCTTGTGGGAGGCCTCTCTCTCATCACCCCGCATAGGGAGCTGGAGCTGACAGAGGGAGCTCATCTGCACTCTCCCTGGATTCGAACCTCCAACCTGTCGGTCTTCATTCCTGCTGGCACAAGGGTTTAACCCACTGTGCCACTGGGAGCTCCTATCGAATCTAATGCACAGGTAGTTTTCAGAACCCTGAAACCAAAAAAAGACTATTTGCTGCCGAAAGTCATGCACAGCGCCAAAAATCGCACTCTTTGTCATTGTGCCATTGCAGTTGGTGCCTGTTTAGGATGTGTTAGAACAGCAAAGCTTCCAGCGATTGAAAACTTTGCATCTATGCTGGAGAATGAATTCACTTTAAGGTGTTGTGTGTTTTCTGGGCTGTCTGGCCATGTTCCAGAAGCATTCTCTCCTGACGTTTCGCCTGCATCTTTGGCAGGCATCCTCAGAGGTTGTGAGGTCTGTTGGAAACTAGACTGGTGGAGTGTATATATACCCGTGGAATGATATCCAGGATGGGAGAAAGAACTCATTTTTCTATTTTCCAACAGACCTCACATCCTCTGAAGATGCCTGCCATAGATGTGGGCAGAAAGTCAGGAGAGAATGCGTCTGGAACTTGGCCAGGCAGCCCAGAAAACACACAACAACCCAGTTATTCCGGCCATAAAAGCCTTCGAGAGAATTCACTTGGTTCAATGTTCTGGGGTCTGTAATTTGAAATCATTGGGGGGTTCTAACTAAGGTTGATGCCTCACCAAACTACAAATCTCAGCACTGCATTGCATAGCATGTCAGGAGCAACTTGAGAAACTGCAAGTTGCTTCTGGTGTGAGAGAATTGGCCATCTGCAAGGACGTTGCCCAGATGTTTTGATGTTTTCCCATCCTTGTGGGAGGCTTCTCTCATGTCCCCACATGGGGAGCTGGAGCTGGCAAAGGGAGCTCATCTGTGCTCTCCCTGGATTCGAACCTGCAACCTATTGGTCTTCAGTCCTGTGCATTAGCCCTTGTGCCACCGATGGCTCCTGCATAGCATTGAGCCATAGCCATTAAATTAGAGATTGTACCCCTCGAATAGGCGCTCCCTGTGCTCCTGAACTCACTTCCCCTTTCATTTTGGCTCAGCACTAATTTGACCGCATCCCTGATGCTCAGGGATTTTTCAAAGCCACAAAGGTTATCTATGGATCAAGAAACCATGGCATACACCCTCTACACTCATCAGATGGAACCAAACTTCTGGAGGACGAAAAATCAATTGCACTAAGTTGGAAAGAACACCACCAAAGCCTCCTGAACCACAGCTCCAATGTGGCCAAAGAGGTTCTCTCACAAATCCCACAACAACAAACCAGGGATGAGCTTGCAGCATTGCCTAGATTGGAAGAAGTCAGCAATGCCATCAGCCAACAAAAAAAATAACAAAGCCAGCGGACCTGATGGGATCCCTGATGAAATCTTTAAAGACGGAGGACCTGAGCTGACACAACAACTCCACCAGCTCATTGAAAAAGTGTGGAAAGAAGCAAAGACCACCAGGATTGAAGCGAAGCTCCTCCGCCATCAACTCCGCTGGATCAGCCACGTTGTCCGAATGCCCAACCACCATCTCCCAACCGGAGGTTGCTCTCCTCCGAACTCAAGAATGGAAAAATGTAACATTGGAAGACAGGAATAGAGATTGAAAGGTGGGCTCAAAGCCAACCTCAAAAATTGTGGAATAGACACAGCAAACTGGGTGTTGAGCCAACACTGTGATGCTACAGGTAAAAAAGCCAATGGGATTTTGGACTGCATTAATAGGAGCATAGTGTCTAGATCCAGGGAAGTCATGCACCTCATGCTCTATTCTGCCTTGGTTAGAGCACACCTGGGATATTGTGTCCAAATCTGGGCACCACAATTCAAGAGAGATATTGACAAGCTGGAATGTGTCCAGAGGAGGGTGACTCAAATGATCAAGGGTCTGGAGAACAAGCCCTATGAGGAGCGGCTTAAGGAGCTGGGCATGTTTACCCTGAAGAAGAGAAGGCTGAGAGGAGATATGATGGGGGCCATGTATAAATATGTGAGAGGAAGCCACAGGGAGGAGGAGGGAGCAAGCTTCCTTTGTGCTGCCCTGGAAACTAGGACGCAGAACAATGGCTTCAAACTACAAGAAAGGAACTTGCGGAAGAACTTCCTGACTGTGAGAGCCGTTCAGCAGTGGAACTCTCTGCCCCGGAGTGTGGTAGAGGCTCCTTCTTTGGAAGCTTTTAAACAGAGGCTGGATGGCCATCTGTCAGGGGTGATTTGAATGCAATTTTCCTGCTTCTTGGCAGAATGGGGTTGGACTGGATGGCTCATGAGGTCTCTTCCAAGTCTATGGTTCTATGATTCTATGGGAAGCTCTGGCCCTTGAGTACTCTAGCTGGAGGTCAGCTGTGACCAGCAGTGCTGTGGAATTTGAAGAGGCACGAATAGAGGTCGAAGGAGAGAAACGTGCCAAGAGGAAGGCACATCAAGCCAACCCTAACCGGGACCGGTTTGTGAGCACTCTAGCTGGAAGTCAGCTGTGACCAGCAGTGCTGTGGAATTTGAAGAGGCACGAATGGAGGTCGAAGGAGAGAAATGTACCAAGAGGAAGGCACATCAAGCCAACCCTAACCGGGACCGGTTTCTGAGCACTCTAGTTGGAGGTCAGCTGTGACCAGCAGTGCTGTGGAAATTGAAGAGGCACGAATAAAGGTCGAAGGAGAGAAACGTGCCAAGAGGAAGGCACATCAAGCCAACCCTAACCGGGACCGGTTTCTAAGCACTCTAGCTGGAGGTTGGCTGTGATCAGCAGTGCTGTGGAATTTGAAGAGGCACGAATAAAGGTCGAAGGAGAGAAACGTGCCAAGAGGAAGGCACATCAAGCCAACCCTAACTGGGACTGGTTTCTGAGCACTCTAGCTGGAGATCAGCTGTGACCAGCAGTGTTGTGGAATTTGAAGAGGCACGAATAGAGGTCGAAGGGGAGAAATGTGCCAAGAGGAAGGCACATCAAGCCAACCCTAACCGGGACCACCTTACACATGTCCTCACTGCGGGAGAACATGTAGGTCAAGAATCGGGCTCCACAGTCATCTATGGACTCACCGCCAGGACACCAAACTTGGAAGACAATCTTATTCAGACAACGAGGGATCAAGTAAGTAAGTAAGTAAGTAAGTAAGATGACCACATGATGCAAATCTAATGCGCAGCCTCAGTTTGGGAAGGTCGCTTAGCCTCCAAAGGTGAGCATTACATTTCAGTCTCTTCTCTTGTAGTCTATCCTTCCCCAAACTGAAATCCCAGGGTGCCGTAGAGCATGAAATGTGTGGAAAAGACGGCACGCTTCTGTCGTGCAAAGGGGGCTCTTGTGCACTCACCATTGTCAGAGCCGACAGGTTTCTCCGAAGTGAAGATGGGCAAAAAGAACAGAAATCCTCAAACGTCGTCGCTTTTGATCTTGGGCCTCCTTCTGATCTGTGAGCTGTGGGCAGGAAGTCTTCTGAGGTTTGCTTCTTCGGTCTGGTACACCAAAGAGGGAAGGAGCTAACCCTGGCATTGCACCCCAGCCCTAGACAACGAGCACCCTGAGACGTAAGAAGCCAAAGGAGTGCCTCTGCCCATGCGCAGAGTGCATTTCTCCTCTTTCGTTGGGGAGTTACAGTGCACTATCTCATCAAGGAATCCATGGAAAGAGCAGAGCTGCTTGGAATTCCTACAGAATTTGGTAGGAATTCTGCAAGGGTTAGGGTTACTCAACCTGGGGGTCAGGACCCCTGGAGGGGAGTCACGAGGGGGTGTCAGAGGGGTTGCCAAAGACCATCAGAAAACATGTTGGCCATGGGGGTTCTGTGTGGGAAGTTTGGCCCAATTCTATCATTTGTGTGGTCCAGAATGCTCTTTGATTGTAGGTGAACTATAAATCCCAGCAACTACAACTCCCAAATGTCAAGGTCTATTTTCCCCAAACTCCACCAGCGTACACATTTGGGCATATTGAGTATCTATGTCAAGTTTGGTCTAGATCTATCATTGTTTGAGTCCACAGTGCTCTCTGGATGTAGGTGAACTACAACTCCCAAACTCAAGTTCAATGCCCACCAAAGCCTTCCAGTATTTTCTGTTGGTCATGGGAGTTCTGTGTGCCAAGTTTTGTTCAATTCCATCGTTGATGGAGTTCAGAATACTCTTTGATTGTAGGTGAACTATAAATCCCTGCAACTACAACTCCTAAATGTCAAGGTCTATTTTCCCCAAACTCCACCAGTGTACACATTTGGGCATATTGAGTATCTGTGTCAAGTTTGGTCCAGATCTATCATTGTTTGAGTCCACAGTGCTCTCTGGATGTAGGTGAACTACAACTCCCAAACTCAAGTTCAATGCCCACCACACCTTTCCAGTATTATCTATTGGTCATGGGAGTTCTGTATGCCAGGTTTGGTTCAATTCCACCGTTGGTGGCGTTCAGAATGCTCTTTGATTGTAGGTGAACTATAAATCCCAGTAACTACAACTCCCAAATGTCAAGGTCTATTTTCCCCAAAGTCTATCTATGTTTATATTTGGGCATATTGAGTATTTGTGCCAAGTTTGGTCCATATCCTTCATTGTTTGAGTCCACAGTGCTCTCTGGATATAGGTGAACTACAACTCCAAAACTCAAGGTCAATGCCCACCAAACCCTTCCAGTATTTTCTATTGGTCATGGGAGTTCTTTGTGCCAAGTTTTGTTCAATTCCATCATTGATGGAGTTCAGAATACTCTTTGATTGTCGGTGAACTATAAATCCCAGCAACTACAACTTCCAAATGGCAAAATCAATCCCCCCCCCCCCCCAACCCTACCAGTATTCAGATTTGAGTGTATTGGGTATTTGTACCCAGATTAGTCCAGTAATGAAAATATATCCTGCATATCAGATATTTACATTACGATTCATAACAGTAGCAAAATTTTGAAGTAGCAACAAAAGTAATGTTATGGTTGGGGGTCACCACAACATGAGGAAGTGTATTAAGGGGTCGTGGCATTAGGAAGGTTGAGAAACACTGGGTTAGAGAAACGGACCTACAACTTTCGTGGGAAAAATCCTAAGGACTCCAGCTGGAAATCGTTCAGAGCCTTGGCTGGTAGGTCTACTCGGGTACCCAAGAAGATTTTGGAGCCGGGAGTAGAGCCCACACCAGCAAAGCCTAGAAAGCAGATTGCCCAGGGAGGGGTTAAAAAGGGTTTTCCTCGTAAAGGAAAGAAATAGTTCTCCAAGCAAGTTGCCTGTCCGTCGTAGACAAGTTAAGAAGCATTTGTTTGATTTGTTGAAGATCTAAGATTGTTTGTTGAAGACCTAGAATCATAGAATCATAGAATCAAAGAGTTGGAAGAGACCTCATGGGCCATCCAGTCCAACCGCATTCTGCCAAGAAGCAGGAATATTGCATTCAAATCACCCCTGACAGATGGCCATCCAGCCTCTGTTTAAAAGCTTCCAAAGAAGGAGCCTCCACCACACTCCGGGGCAGAGAGTTCCACTGCTGAACGGCTCTCACAGTCAGGAAGTTCTTCCTCATGTTCAGATGGAATCTCCTCTCGTGTAGTTTGAAGCCATTATTCCCTTGCGTCCTAGTCTCCAGGGAAGCAGAAAACAAGCTTGCTCCCTCCTCCCTGTGGCTTCCTCTCACATATTTATACATGGCTATCATCTCCTCTCAGCCTTCTCTTCTTCAGGCTAAACATGCCCAGTTCCTTAAGCCGCTCCTCATAGGGCTTGTTCTCCAGACCCTTGATCTTTTTTGTCGCCCTCCTCTGGACACATTCCAGCTTGTCAATATCTCTCTTGAATTGTGGTGCCCAGAATTGGACACAATATTCCAGGTGTGGTCTAACCAACCATTACTTCCTTGGACCTAGAAGCTTCTAAAGACTTTGTATAGGAAAACCCATAGGGCCTCTCATCCGAGGCACCCCGGCTTCCCACTGGGCACAAAGAGCACGTCCTCTTCAAAAGCCAATTGCTATAGATGCACCCGTGAAGCTGGAGAGGTAGAGACGGAACACGTCTAAAAGGAAGCATTGTTGTTTTTCAAGTAGTACATCGTCACATTATGATATCGTATAATGGATGTTCTCAAAGGGGAACTGGACAGATAAATAAACTCACAAAACTATAGAATTGGAAGGGTCCTCCAAAGGTCATCTAGTCTGACCTGCCTCCAAAGGTCACCTAGTCTGACCCCATTCCTGCCATACATGGCTTAACCCTATTCTGACCTGCAACCAAAAAGTTTTTCTTAAAATCCTGTTCATTAACGTCTTGTTTGTGTATTTCCACCTATTCTCTATTTGAGTTTATTCGATGCTTAGACAAAACAAATAGATAAATACATGAACACCAGATTATTAAATCATATATATATATATATATATATATATATATATATATGATGCTCTGTGCATAATGAGTACCTTAACAACAAAAGAACCAATGAATGAAATCACACCAAATTTGGCAACAAAACGTCTCACAACACAAGGAGTGACCATCACTCAAAAATTATGATTTTGTCATTTGGGAGTTGTAGTTGCTGGGATTTATAGTTCACCTACAATCAAAGAGCACTCGGAACTCCAGAACATGATGGAATTGAACCAAACTTGGCACACACAACTCCCATGACCAACAGAAAATACTAGAAGTGTTTGGTGGGCAGTGTCCTTTGGTTTTGGAGATGTAGTTCACCTACATCCAAAGATCAATGTGGACTCAAACAATGATGGATCTGGACCAAACTCTACACGAATACTCAATATGCCCAGATGTGAACACTGGCTGAGTTTGGGGAAAATAGAATATTGACATTTGGGAGTTGTAGTTGCTGGGATTTATAGTTCACCTACAATCACAGAGCATTCTGAATCCCACGAATGACAGAATTGGGGCAAATTTCCCGCACAGAACTCCCACGACCAACAGAAAATACTCAAGGCCACCCAGTCCAACTCCCTTCACCAGGGCAAGGAAACGTAATCAAAGCCCTCCTGACAAAGAGCCATCCAGTCAGAGATATAGATAGGCATGTATGATTCATACACACACAGATATAGTATCCTAGATTTGAAAGGGACCCTAAAGAAGGACAATGATGCGTTGTATGTTCCAGGGCGGGCAAACCAGACACTCTCCACATCAACACTGACAAAGAAACGGCAATAAATACTATTTACCCACAAACATAAAGAATTTACATATATTAGAAACCGACACTTTCTCATTACTTATTTTCCAGATCAACAGACTGGGCCACAGCAACGCCTGGCAGGGGACGGCTAGTACACAATAAAATCCTGTAAATCATTAAAATGCTAAGATCAAGTGTAGTATCTGTTCTTATCCGTCTTGTTTGTGAGACGGTTGTTGACTCCGTTGCTCTGGAAGGCCTTCTTATCGCTCCATCTTCGCACCTGTCTGCATCTGATTGAACTCGATTCTTCTTTGCGTTCATAGAGGATCGACACATGGAGGTTTCGTTTTCACACGTCTTTTTTTTATTTTGTGAAAACGGGCCAGTTTTCTTCTTCTTCTTCTGCTTCCTCTGCCTTGCGGTCTCCTGATTTTTGCCACTTCGCACTTTGCTTACTTAGCAAACAGGTAAAAGCAAGCCCAAAAATAATAATAATTCAAGATGATCTATGACTTTGAACCCAGTGAATAGAAGTGAAGCAACATTCCTTTTTTCAAAAGAGAGCAAAACATATAGGTTTGCTTTTGGGGTTTTCCAAGCAGCGGCCAAATCTGTGAATACAGAATCCATGGATACCAAACCCATGGATACTATATCCGTGGTTACTGAATCCGTGGATACCGAATCTATGGATATCAAATTCGTGGATACTAAATCAGTGGATACTAAATCAGTGGATACCGAATCTGTGGATACTGAATCCATGGATACCGAATCTATGGATATCAAATTCGTAGATACTAAATTCATGGATACTAAATCCTTGGTTACCAAATCCGTGGATACTGAATCCGTAGATACCGAATCTATGGATATCAAATTCGTGGATACTAAATTCATGGATACCAAATCTGTGGATATATAATCTGTGAATATCGAATCTGTGGATATATAATCCATGAATATCGAATCTGTGGATATCGAATCCGTGGATACCGAATCCATGGATACCAAATCTGTGGACATATAATCCATGGATATAAAATCTGTGGATATCGAATCCGTGGATACCGAATCCATGGATACAAATTCGTGGATACTAAATCCATGGATACCAAATCTGTGGATATATACTCCATTGATATTGAATCTGTGGATATCGAATCTGTGGATACCAAATCCATGGATACCAAATCTGTGGATATCGAATCTGTGGATATCAAATCTGTGGATAAGGAGGCCTGGCTGTAGATAGGAAGGCAGATAAACAGATGGAGGCCTTCCTGTCAAGTCAAAGAG